ATTATCATCTTAGATGGTGGTGCAGTTTGAAAAAGAGACTGCTTATACATACGGGCAGCTTCGCTCCTACACTTTGAAATATGAAATAACATACGTCATTCGGACGTTCATTTTGTTTTTTTAGCGCGTGAGGATAACAAACCGAGCCGAAGAGAAATCGTAGTATATTAGAACAGGAGATCTCGAAAAAAAATCGAAGATAATTGATAAACAATTGTGTTATGATTATCCACGTGAGGTATAAATAGTGAAATTTTGTTCATTTGGTCAGCACAATCCACAACGAATTTGATTAAATCTTTAAACATATATATATATATGTATATATATATATGTTTAATACCTTAAAAAGTATGGAAGTTTCCGGAAAAAAACCACCCTTTTTCCGATAAAACCAGTAAAGAACACCAATTATAATGTAAAAGTGAGCAATTTCCTGATTCTATTCTCACGAGAACATGTAGTATTATGATTAGTGAGGTATTGTCTAAACCCGACAAATATGAAACATCCTAGATGTCGAGACCCTTCTTACCCAGCGAATATCTTATGGTATTGGAAATACCAAAAGTTAATTCGAAACAATCCTATATACTTTGCGCCATTGCCGGATGGGGCGCTACTCAGCCGTATAATCCATATTCTCGAAATGGTTTATATTGGTGTTTCCTTGACGTCCTATCACCTGATGAGTGCGCAGAATTAGGAAGAAAATATAGAGCAAATGAATTTTGCGCCATGGATCGTAATGATGGGAGCCTCCCATTGGAGGTACAAATTGAATCTACATTTGTCTTACGAATTAATTTTTGATAATGAAAATCTTTTAGGGAGACGAGGGCAGCCCAGTGGTTTGTGATGGTCATCTAGTGGGCATGTATACGCGTCCCTTCGCTAACGAAATCATTGATGTGCAGGAGTATATTAACCATCCAGCTGTTTTTATGAAGATCATACCCTATGTCCCATTCATTAATTCCGCAATGAATTTGTAATGAGTGTGATACCAGAATTTAATGGAAAATTTGACTGGCAACTCTAAAAATTATATTCCATTATAGTTTAAGATTATTTTTGGATTATTATTCACCCACTTAATCTGTCATCTTGGAACAACCAATATGATTCAATAAACGAAATGAAACTTACAGCACATATCCGCTTCATCATTCTCCTATACCCGGAGAGAAATATTTAAGAAAAATTATGGAAAATTTCACGTAATCCGCAAGCGAGAATAGTTTTCGGGTAGTAAATCTGGAGCTTTCAGTATACTCTCGGGTCTTGTCCCCGAAAAAATACGAAAAAGTCACGTCATTTTTCTGGAAGTTTTGGCATCGAACGAAACTTCAAGACTTATTGAACATACAGATGTCCCAGAATATAACAATTTTTGAATGTTCAAGAATTTTTAAGGAACATTTCGGAAAAATTACGAAACGTTCCGTAAAAATCCCGTCCCCACAGTCACTGATGGCTATCGTGAGGCGTCGGGCGGATGAGTAATTTTTCCGGAACAAACCGTAGAATTGATATGATGAATGCAAAGCATTACGCAGATTACGTGAAATATTCCGTAACTTTTCTTGAATATTTCTCTCCGTGTATTGTCTTATTCTGATACAAAAAATTGAACACTTTAATTTAAACGAAAGTAAGCTGCCATTCGGAAGCC